GAAGCTCAAAGTTGCACAGCGTGCTATGGAGAGGGCTATGCTCGGTGTTTCTTTGCGAGATCGAATCAGAAATGAGAAAATCCGTAAACGCACTAAAGTCGCTGACATAGCCCGACGGATTAGCAAGATGAAGTGGTAATGGGCAGGGCACATAGTACGCAGAACTGACGGCCGATGGCAGCAAGGTTCTGGAATGGAGGCCGCGTACCGGAAAACGCAGCGTGTGACGTCCACCTACAAGGTGGACCGATGACATCGTAAAGGTATCAGGGAAGCGCTGGACGCAGGCCGCTACCAATCGATCAACATGGAAAGCATTAGGGGAGGCCTATGTTCAGCAGTGAATGTCCTATGGCTGAAATGATGATGATGATGAATTGATAAGGGACTTGCCCGTTTTCACCATCAATCCCTAATTTTTAAGTGACCCCTATGAAAACAAAATTCCTGTTATGTGTTATCATAAGGGTCACTTAAAAATTAGGAATTGATGGTGAAAACGGGCATACGCCTACCTTTCGTTTCCGCCACTGCAACTCCTGCAAATCCAGGATCTAAAGTTTGGCCACCAATGACACCCAACAAATTAAAAATGCGTATAACTAATAGGTAATTCTCGTTATTTTCGTTTCAATTTATTATTTTGATTTAAAAACATATCATTGCGTTTTATGTATTTTTTGTGTCACCTGAGGCTTCTTTTATAGTCACAGATGCGATTTATGTGCGGTTATCTCTACATACAAGCAGGCACTCTAATCTTTTCAAAGAAAATTACTACACGAACGCAATCCCGGTGGACTCAGTAAAAGCAAAAAATACGGCGAATGCGAATAGCTACAGGAATAAACATACCAACATTACTTCACCCGCATAAATCAATTAGTCTTGCCTAATTCTCTCTGAAATACAGCCTCTAAATCACTTTTTCCTAAAACATTATTCAGGGCGAGTTAGCCTCGCAGGTAGAATAATTGTTCTGCACAGCGCGGTGAATAATGCTAAAGATTGGTCCGTGAGCACGTAGAATTTTGTCCACTGACCCCAAGCTACCCATCCTTATCGTATAGCGCGTCGCACAGTCGCGACAGCAATATAATTACGCGCGAGTGATAAGGATGGGTAGCTTGGGGTCATTGGACAAAATTCTACGTGCTCACGGACCAGGCTTTAGGACTATTGTCAATGGACGTTACAAAAATGGACAGATTAAAGAACAAGAGTCATCCCAATGAACAGTCAGCGTCGTATAGTTCTGGCACCCTAAGAAGTAGTAAGTGGCCAAAAAGTTTATAACACAACTTTATTCTAAAGCGCAATACACACTGAGCCCACCGGGCCGCCGACAAAGCCCGGCCGGGTTGTGTCAACCCGGCGGCCTGTATGAAAAGAATCATGTCGGCAACATGCGCCCGCGCGTGTTACCCGCCGACATGTTGGCGGCTTTAGTACGCCTGCGCTCAGTTGCCCGGCGACGCTTGACCTGAAGTGATGTGCTTGTATGCTGACTGCCAAATAAATTTCTTATCTCAAGCCGCTGACATGCCACCGACCAAATTTTCCGACTTGTAATAAAAGAACCCGCCAACTAAGCCAAATTTTCCGACTTGTAATAAAAGAACCCGCCGAGAAAGAGTTGCCGACATTATGTCGGCGGCCCGGCGGGCTCAATGTGTATTGCGCTTTATAACTTATTAAATTGTAACAAAGACGTGTAGCGATCTTTTTGGATACATTGGGTGTAACGAACTATTTGACGCTGCCTGTACCTATTATCACAGAATATATAACTATTAAAACAGTTAAAGAATGCAGTTAAATTAGTGTTTTTATTAAATTGTTTAAGAGATCTTACGTATTTTTTATCGATCTATTCTAAGTTCAGATTCCAGTATCATATTAACGGATTTCGTTTTTCATAGCTGTAGGTAGGTAGACCTCTAGGTATTTTATGTCAGAATTCGATATTCAAACCTAAAATAGTTCCCTAACCTAACGAAAGATATAATACATCTTACATAAAAACTATCAAATAAAATTCAAATGTGCTCCAAGCCAATCAGACATAAAAACTTTGTTGCCAATTCAATCCAACTTATCCATTTAATCCTAAAATACCAATTTCCTATTTAACGAGTCGTCTAGGCGTTTTATGACTTTTCTAGAGACCTTTTTGATTGTATCAAAGGCATAAATCCCAAACCGTTTCAATAGAAATAGTTTTCGGTCGCTATCTGGTTTATAGCATCTTACTGCCTGATATTGGCGATGGTTTCCTTCAATGATTTTTTTTATCTACTTTATACCTCTGACACAGGTGCTTATGTACTTAATAGAGGAAGTCCACACCTAATTTGTAACCCTAAAATTGCAGCGAATAAATGTTTTATTTATTTATTATTAATTATTATTATACTATTAAGGAGCTCTTTCCGACAACTTACGTTATAGAAAGTGATGATCAAGCCGAAAGAAGCTGAAAGCGAGCTTCATCCAGAGTCTTACTTATTATTATTCTGTGATCTTACCTCCAACTGCCGGAACACAACAATACTGTTATGTCTGTTAACATTATTTTTATGGCGACAGACCTATAATGATATCTTACCTAAGATGGTGGTAGCTATCCAGTCGGACTTAGAACGAGCCCTGCTACCAACAAAACGTGCAAAAAATTTTGCATTCACTGAGAATCGAACCCAGAACCTCTATGGTCTAAAGCAGGCAGCTATATTGGGTGATTGGCTGATTGGGTGATACCCGTCGAGGGACATCTTAAATACCCGGATAAATGGTCGTTTTATTCCCCGAAAATCGCTGAATAAGAACTACTTACCTAGTTAGGGAATGGCAAATGAGATGGCATTAGTCACGGCTGTCATTAGTCGTTTGTTAAAGCGGAGGCTTAAAATCGACCACCCTTCGCAATTCCCTCTGACGTAACTGTAAGCTCTTTCGATGCTTTTATAGTCCCTGATAGTATATTGGGAACTTATCTGTCAGTTAACTATAACTTTTTGTTTGTTCAGTTATTTGGTTTATCAGTGAAGATTACTTTTAGGTTTACGAAATAACAGAAACGTAGAGCTAAATGAAATTCGATAAACACTGCATTGATATTGGACACTGCATAACTATTAGGTAGCGTCTGTCAGATAACTAAATAAAAGTTTATTAGGAACCAGTGAAACTGACCCTCACTAAAAGGCTGTCAATGGACAGGCTAATCTTTTAATTAATTACTTACAATCAAGTAGTTTAGGCATGCCAAGGTGGCATACTGGTTGAGGATGCTTTAGTGCATTAAGTTCGCCTTATGTTCAAATATTTGGCATTAAATTCTTAAATAAATAAATAAATAAATACAGACAAAGCTACTCTAACAAGCTCGCATTAATATCGTCTTTCTTTTCCAGAGCTTCCCAAAACGATGACGAACAGGATAGTGTCAATACTGGGCCTGTTCGAGCTATCAGTCGGGGATTCCCCCAGGACCGACGGAGCGTCCGAACTGGCAGCGGCTAGGCTAGCGGTCGACCATGTCAACCAGCGGTCTCTGCTACCAGGGTACAGGCTGCATCTCATCACCAATGACACGAAGGTATGGTATCCAAAGAGCATTATATCCAGCAGGTATTGTTGAACTGCATTATCTCGTAATTATGTACGAGTAGGTACATCAAGCTAATAAAACTGCGTAAGCGATTTCGTATGTTGTGTAGGTTTTAATAAGCTTTTATAGCCTTAGCGAAATAGCGAAATGTTCGTGAATCCCATGCACATCCAAATATTCTAAAATTTTAACAACAAAAAAGATAATCTTACAACTTGATTCAAATAATGATTCTTTACCATTAGTTATCCGAATTTCATAGAATCTCAGGGCCATATCAGAATGAAGCCCAAGACTCTATTGAATTTCTAGCATAGATTGATTATATTATTTTAAATAGTTGAATTTTAATATTTGGACCAATCACAGGGCAGATTGAGTTTGAGCTATGTTCTGTAGTAATCACGACATCCCAGCGGCACGGAATTTGGCCCAAGCCTAAACAACCAGATATGAGGCCATATAGGTGTTGTATACCTAAGTTTCGTGTGACATGTTTTATTTTTATTTTATTTTATTTTATTGAGAAAACCAACAGCGTATTTATACAATTTTACCATACATAAATTTAACATACAATATGGCCAATAACAGGTTTCCCTTAAATTATTACCAATAGTACTAGTAAAGGTTGGAATGCTACCAATACCTATCCACACAAGTTCACACAACACTACCTAAACAATACACTACAAAACAAAGATCATCCCGATAGCCAACTCAATGTCAGTTGAGATACAGAAAAGATGTATGTATATGTTAACAGAACATTTATTTTTGTTAATTTAAGAATCTAGCCTCTGGCCTCATATCTGGTTGGCTTGGGCCAAATTCCGTGCCGCTGAGTGTCTTTGAATCAATCTATGAGTTTTATTAATATTGGAAAGTACCTGGATGCAGGCAGCTCAGTACCGGTCCTTATGGAAATCCTTGGGGGAGGCCTTTGTCCAGCAGTAGACGCCATTTGCCTGAAACGAACGAATGCAATTTTAAAATAATCTAAATTAGCCTCAACGAACTAAAGTCGCTGAAATAGCCCAACGGATTAGCAAGCTGAAGTGGCAATGGGCAGGGCACATATTACGCAGGACTGATTCCCAATGGGGCAGCAAGGTTTTTGAGTGGAGGCCACGTACCGGAAAATGCAACGTAGGACGTCCACCTACAAAGTGAACCTCATAAAGGCGCTGGATGCAGGTCGCNGGATGCAGGCCGCCACCAACCGGCCATTGTGGAAATCATTGGTGGAGTCCTATGTTCAGTAGTGGACATCCTATGGCTGAAATCATGATGATGAAATGAGCTTAAACTTTTGCTTTACTATGTTATATTATTTCAGTGTGACCCTGGAGTGGGCGTAGACCGGTTCTTCCATGCCCTCTACACGGAGCGGGAGTCAAGGATGGTGATGTTACTGGGAACTGCCTGCTCTGAGGTCACTGAGAGCATCGCCAAGATTGTCCCTTACTGGAACATAGTGCAGGTCAGTTAAAATTGGTGTAACTTTGAAAACAAAAGAGGCCAGTTTTACTTCGCTCCGAAAAGAAATCTAGCCACAGGAACCAAAGTAGTGTCATCATTTATTATTGACATAATTTGACCTTCACTGCAGGAACACGACCCTCCCCAATTAGATATTTAGAACTAATAATAAGTAGATAGCAACTCATCAAGAATATACATACAAAAATCTTTATTGTGAATCATAGGTGAAATGACATAGTAGTATCACTGTTCCACGCTGTGTCTCATGTCATATACCTTCGACTGCACCTTTCAAATATTTAAAAAAAAATGTAATTTAACTGTCGGAAAAGAAACATGTGTAACACCTTACTGTCACTGTAGCACCTGTGTATCACCAGGTACGAGTATACGGTGCAACAATTTGCAGCACGTCAAAGTGCTGTCTACAAAATGTATCCGCTACAGTGGTTAAATAGATAATCCTATACGCGAAGCAGGTACCCTAATACCTTCATGTAAGCCCAACTCTCCAGGACAAAGTTTTCCGTAACTGACATTAAGTGGATTTGAATTAAGCAACCTGTATCGCAGTCGAAACCACGCGTGACAAGGATCAGGTGAACTCCGGTTATAACTAGTTCATACCGGTCTTTAGGGCTGCCAACCAGAAGTAATCAGAAGTTTGATAGTTTGACGTATGAAAATGAGACGTACTTGATTGACTAAGTTTGTTCCGGCGTTTCTTCTCAGCACTTGCTATAATTATGTTTGCCTCGAAGCCCTGGTAGGGCCCAAAAAGATAAGGAGTCATGTAAAGTGCCCCATAAGGGCTATCTTTTTTTTATTTACTGTATTTTGACGTTCATAAGTGCTCTTGTTCATAAGTGATACTCGTAATATCTTGGTTTTTCACGGAAATAGAGCAAGAAATTGCACTATTAGGTACTACTTATTATTTTGTTTTTATTTGTGGAACCCAAGTGGTTGCATGAGATCGCGGTAAGAATGAGGGTTTTCGCGATTGAAAAATCCGCCAGATGGCAATACGTAGACGCGAAGTCCAAATGCTGCATGATTTGACAAATCTGTCAATGTCATGTCAAAAATTTCTTAGTCTCATTGATTTCTATTGAATCGCGATTTGCTGGTACTTGAAGAGCTAAGAGGTACTGATAAAAGCTTAATCTTTTGATAATAAAAAATCCCACGTTCCTATTTCCCATGTAAAGCTATAGTTGATAACCCTACCAGCACTGTCTTTAACTATTACAAGTTCTAAAGCCTGAAAGTTACAGTTTCAGAAACTGTGGCAGCAAGCAGAAATGTATTCAAATTGCACGTGTTAAGGTGCCTTTTGATGTGGCACATTCTGACAATCTGATATCTAGATTCTGGGTAATATTTGATTTGAACGAAATATGACTGTACCAATAGATAGAGCAAATTGGAGTAAACCTACTAAGTTATGATTTTCCTGTTAGGTAAACCAATTATGTAAAGAACCAAAAATAAGAATAAGGAATTCATTTTATCTCCAGTATCCCACAGGTTTTAATCTAGGTAAGTAAACAGTGTATTATACAAAATGTTTCTTGTATATTCGATCTTTTTAAATCGCCTTTATAGGGTAGATGGAGAAACCCTTGTCAGCGCAAGTAAGATCAATTGGGAGCATGTGCTGACTGGCTCTTGGTCCATAATATTTTGTAGTAACACATTGAGCAATAATTTAAAAAATATTTTTACAAGTCCCAACACATTATAATTCAATTAATCCAATAGATTAAAGATTCCCATGTGTTAAAAACGTCACTGTTTTATATCCAGGAAGTATCTTTTGTGAGATCTATCCATACTGTATCCCTCTTCTGTACCTACCACATTTAAAGCAAATAAATTATGATTCTAATTCTGATTCTGATTCATTATGTTCATCATCCTCACACCGCAGCTTCGCTACGCGATGCAAAATGAAATCATTGCGCCGCTACATCTGTCAATAGCAATCCGATTAGAGCGCACGCAGTGCTAAACTGAGCTAAATCAAATATTGTTCAGCTCTACTCTGCGCCACAGTATAGATAGGAGTCCGTCAGTAACTAGTTTCATTTATTTCTTTAATGTATTCAGTATTTTACCGTACCGGAAAACGCAGCGTGGGACGTCCACCTACAAGGTGGACCGACGACATCGTAAAGGTAGTAGGGAAGCGCTGGACGCAGGGCGCTACCATTCAATCAACATGAAAAGCATTGGGGGAGGCCTATGTTCAGCAGTGGACGTCCTATGGCTGAAATGATGATGATGATGATGATTCAGTATTTTGGACCCAATGTAGGAATTGAAAAGCGGTGTGTATTTCTCCGGCGTTATTTATATTAGTCCGGGATAAAACTACAAGAAAAGGAAAGTCCTCGCTCCGTCTTTAATACAATCGTCTTCTGTTCTGCTATGTCCAAAATAACTTTTCTTACTCACTCATTCATTGCCTTTCACTCACTCACTTGCGTTGCGTTTCGGTTAACACTCCCACATAAATGTTATTGTGTAGGCCTTGACCTTCTTCTCAAAAATTAACATGTTTTCTACCCCCAGGTGTCATTCGGGTCCACGTCGCCAGCTCTCAGTGACCGCTCCGAGTTTCCTCTGTTCTGCCGCACGGTAGCACCTGATTCCTCACACAACCCAGCACGGATTGCGTTTATAAGGTAATTCTCTATCATCATCATCACCATCATCATCATCATCAGACTCTCTTCAACTATCTCTAATTTACCAGAAGCAAATGAAGTATTTGGCCTACACACCACACGCTGGCCAGACGAATTGGGGGCCTCCCCAATTCTTTAACACCTTACTTGCATTTATATCTTGAAATCTACAGGGTGGAAACGATAAGTGATCTCATTCGATTATTTCTAAACTATACAAGATATCGAAAAACTGATTACTAATCCTGAAAGTGCTTCACAAGCTCTATCTAACGGTACCAATATTAGGTTACAGAATTAACTGGATCTCTCCGAAAATTTAATGGTTTCAGCTTCCATACTAAATGTATGCCAACCAAACAATAATAGAAGTATTTCATTTTATTAAATAATAAACACTTAAAATGAACTCTAGATTGCCTTCTTATTTAATATTATTCTTAGAAAACATTGGTTTTAGGCTTTACTTGCTATAATATTAACAAAATATGAGTGCCATTACTGTGGCTGTACTAAATGTATGGAAGCTGGAAACATTGAATTTTCGAATGGATCCAGTTTATTTTGTAACCTATTATTGGTACCGTTGGATAGAGCTCGTGAACCACTTTCAGGATCAGTAACCAGTTTTTGAATATCTTGTATAGTTTTTAATATTATGTGGTTTTACTAAATGTATGGAAGCTGGGAAAATTGAATTTTCGGATAGATCCAGTTTATACTGTAACCTATTATTGGTACCGCTAGAAAGAGCTTGTGAAGCACTTTCAGAATCATTAATCAGTTTTTCGATATCTTGTATAGTTTAGAAATAATCGAGTGAGATCACTTATCGTTTCCACCCTGNTTGAAATCTATAGTAGAGTCATCAATGAACAATATTATATCTGTACCGACTTGAGCTGTGCAGTATTTAAAGCGGAAATGACAGGCTCGCTATAATAAACATACAAAAGAAACTTAAAAGCTTTCAGCTATGGAAGCTTAAAATCCAGTGTGTATTTGAAAGCTCTCACTTTTAGTGGCGAAGCTCTGGGGACGGCCGATAAACAAAATTACACCATTAAAATGGAAGCGAGCTTTTTGGATCGCTTTAAATTTTCACTATCAGCTTTTTAAAGCTCCAATGAAAATCTGCTTTAGGCTAAGGCTCCGGAGAAGCATGGGCTTTTATATTTCGATCTTCCAAATATCCATTGATCGCTTCAAGTATCTTGAAACTAAGATATATGTATATTTATTGATTAATTGTACAATAAGTTTAAGAAACCTGAAAAAGGTAATGAAATATTTAATTTCAGTAGTTAATGGTTGTAATTTTAAGCCTTTTCTAACTAGTGACAACATTAATACCATACCATACCGTACCATAAATCCTGAATTAAAAAATCTAGGAATAATAAATACTCGTACACCAAATAATTTTACATTTTTACCGTCTCGGATTCACACCCAAAACCCAGTATTGAAATACGAGTACATTATACGCTCGTCCTAAGTTCATTACGTCTACGAAAAGCGTAGCGTCTTTATTCCTAATGTCTCGTTCTAACTTTCTCAAAAAAGGCTTCTACAGTCTTAAACCAAGAATACAGTACTATTATTGTAATTCTACAAATCGGCAGATTCCCTTCCACCCCAAAATTAAATTCCAATGAGGCTTACAAGATTTACTGGTTCCCCCAACATAAGTTCCATACTTTGGAGGTACTGGTTGATCCCGACCCAAGAAAATAAGACCGTAACGAGCTTGTGAATACGGTTCTATCATAATGTATACTAATTGTATTTCTATAAGCCTATGTTTCTGAAAATGAAGCTTGCAAAAATGTAGTAAAAAAGTAGATTAGAATAGGTGTTTAAATAAAAATACATACCTACCTACCAACAGATGAAACCGAGGGAACCATAAATTAAAATTCTAGAAACATAAAAGGAAAACTCGCTTTCTAGCGATAAGACTTTCTAAATTGTGCCGTTTCAATTTGTATTTCTTTCAGTTTCATTTTGTCAGTTTTGTTTGGTTTTCAAGAAAAAAAAACTAAAATTAAAAACCTACCTACTATAAGGCTGGGTTTCACCGTCTTAGGCTAACCATCTTACTTTAACTTTGACAAACGTCAAAAATCTTTCAAACTCCATACAAAAAACACCGGTTATCGTCAAAGTTACGGTCAAAGTTAGGTGGTGGAACTCAGCCTAAGTTATATATTTATGGATCTATTAATAAAATTAATTTACCAAATACGAGAGTGAGACAGTGTGGTTTGATTGTGTTGCTTTGATCAAAGGCATTTGACAGTAAATGCCCAAGGAACCACAATCCATGTGTTCATTCATCACATCAAACTATTTCAATGATATAATATCGCACATCAGGGTGACAGATATACTCGACCTATTCCTTAGGATTTAGTACAAGAAGTAATACAGTATACAAGAAGAAATTAGAACAAAATTAAGTCCAGTGAACATGGATGGGGTCAAATTGGATGGTTTTCGAGTTGTGAAGGTTCTTCGATTATTTAGATAAATTTAATTGTGAATAATCTACTCCACCTTAAACATTTAATTCATACTTTTGTGAAAGCTGAATTTGCGATCATTTTGAAAAAAAAGCGCTTACCCAAAACTTACGTAATCTCAGTCAAATAAGGTTTTGTTATTTTTTTTATTTTCACATTTTGTTGCTAATGATCTATCCCTTTTTAAGGAATAGGTCGAGTATCTCTGTCACCCTATACATATAGGAGATATTATTACTTACATAATATAACTGTTGATTGGTGTGCGGGTTCACCTGACTTGATTTGATTGATATACACACACAGGTAAAAGGTTAATTTTGCCTGTCATATTAGTATCTTATCGGTAGTAATTACTTCTAATAATTGCAAAAACGATTCATATGCAGTGCGTGTATTAAGCAGTAGGTACACTAACTTTAGCTATAGTTAATAATATTATACATACTATTTACACCATAGCAATACTAACTATAAAAACTAAGGCTACTAATTGCTAAACATTTGTGATTACTTTTGGTAATAGAGAACAGAATAGAGAACCCGCTCTCTCATGTAAGCGATGTAAATACATTTTTAACACAATTTAAGTTTAGAATTGTGAGACGCGATAAAAAAACTGATTAGGCCTAAATCAACACGATCAGAGCCTGCCTACTTACATAAAATAATTCCTAGAGGGTACCTACATATGACTTTTTTTCAGCCGTGCTAAGACACGCGTCATGATAAAATCTTATCGTCGATCTTAGGCTTCCAATGAGTGGGTTTATCGTCTAAAATTGATAAAACTATGTAATGACGCCCATCCTAGGCTGGTAGGTCTATAACTGTCTATCACAAGACTTATCAAATCCCACATGGGACCCATTAGGGCCCGCCATTGTAGTGCCAACAAAGCTCCTTTCGTGATGCCAAGACTGAATATAGTAAACGCAGGCAATATGCCTTCATAAGCTCCAGCAGAATTTTTATTTGAATACCAGCCTGTACCGACACGCGTAGACTTGGATTTTTCGCAGATTCCATAACAAATATCTTAGGAAGAGGCTTTCTTCCCCGGACGAAAATTACCAAGCCGGTGGCATTTGCCAAAGGTGTAACTTTTTTCATATTCCAGAGAAAACTTATTACAAATTTTGTGTTTACTTTGTTTCTTGTATAAAGAAATACAAACTCTAATACCTGACAAGATAATGTGCAATGATAACTACATAGTTTATCCAACAATAACACCCGTTCTTTGAACATTTCTTCAAAAAATAATTTCAAATGCTACACGATACGCCCCCACGCTTAAAAAATTCTATTAAATCTCATGGACTGAATCTATATTGAATAAATTAAAGACTTATAGATTTTTCTAAGCTTCGAAATTCTACCAATCAAAAACAAAGCGCTGAAAACCAGATTCTAGCCAAAGACTATTTTGGTTGCTTGAATTCCATATGATACCCATTTTATACTTAGGCATGTCATAACTTGATCTAAGCTGCCCGTTAATTCCAGACAGTTCGGCTGGGACACGGTGACTGCCTTCACCCAGAATGAAGAGGTCTACTCCTTAGCCGTCAACGAGCTGGTGACCCAGCTGGAAGCAGCCAACATCACCTGCGCCGCTTCCATCACCTTCGCAGAGTCCGACTTCAAGGAACAGCTTCAGCAGTTGAAGGTATTCAATTCGTCATCAGGAGAACCAAAGTGACCGACATAGCTCGCAGAATTACTAAAATCAAGTGGCAGTAGGCGGGGCAAATAGCTCGTAGAGACGATGGACATTGGGGCAGAAAAGTTCTCGAGTGGCGACCACGGGGTGGAAGACGTAGCGTGGGCAGGCCTCCTACTAGGTGGACCGACGATCTGGTGAAGGTCGCGGGTAGAGCCTGGATGCGGGCAGTGCAGGACCGTGCATTGTGGAAAACTTTGGAGGAGGCCTTTGTCCAGCAGTGGACGTCATTTTGCTGAAACGAACGAACAAATTCGTCATCGTGATTATCGGGTCATTTACGCCCGTATTTACAAACATTACAATGAGGTCTCACAGTATGCATAGACGCACAGGGTCACACACGAACCAATCACAGAGCTCTATTCAACGCTGTGTTCGATTTACCGCTTCACTTATGCAAGTATCGTTTGTGAATACGGGTGTTAGTCCTTGTAGGATGACCCCCTCTAATTTATCAGAGACAAATTGATGATTTGGACTACAGTTTTCAAAGTCCAGATGGGTTGGGGATTATCCAATGTTCCCCTAATGTTCATTCCATATTTCTCCCTTACATAGTAATTACTTTATTTGTATGACTAACATGGTAAATGAGAGAGACTTTTTATATGTATTATTTAAAAATTATGTGAAATAAGGGACTTATTTAGAGCTTTAAGGAGCTAATAGGGATCATCAGCTACACCTTACGACTGAAAACCGCGATATACTCGGTGTAGTATCGATAGTATCGATAGATTTTTAGACAAAAGCGACAACACTATCGATACAATCGATAGTTTATTCTTCGCGAGCAGCAATACTATCAATAGTATCGATAGTATTGCGCTCATCCAATAGTATTGCCTTGTTTTGGCATATCGATAGTATAATAAATAAATAATAAATAAATCTTTGGACAATTTCACACAGCGCCAGCTAGCCCCAAAGTAAGCAACTTAATGCTTGTGTTATGGGTGCTAGCTTGACGGATACACTACTTATATACATTTTTTTTAAATACATACATATTATACATAGTATCGATACTATCGATAGATAAGGCTTTTTCAGATGAAAACTATCGATAGTTTTACTATAGATAGTTCGGCAACACTAGTGACATATGGTGAATAAGGAGTGTCCTGCTGGGGAGCTCCTTGACATGTTAAAACTGCTTGGAACAAAATAATCTGCTTAAAGTTTGGGACTGATTACAGATGAGCGCAAAAAAGTGAAATAAGGCTGCATATTTAGATTTAAAAAACTAGGCCGAGCCTGAAACCCGCATTTACATACTTAAAAAATGTAACTTAGACATTATTATGTTAAAATATTGTCTCCATTTGTAATGTTCAGTGAGTTGCCAGTAAAGTATTATGCCTCTTAAACGACATGTGTGTTCAGATCTTCGGGAATGGCGAAGACATCAATCTCAAGTGTAATACGATATGAATGTAAACAGCCTGGGGCCGACAACAGTGGGCGGCTCGAATAAAAGGCTATCAAACGTTATACATATTATTATTATACGTGAAAGTTATAAATATAATAGATATTGTCTGCGTTATTGCTTGTGGAATTTTAGAAAAAGAATTTTAAAACAAACTCGAAGAATTAAATAAAACTTTAAATTAAAACTATCGCGGCCTAAACATTCTTCACCTGATAAAATGTTGAGTGCTCACTTATGAAAATAATAAATTTAAATAAATAAATAAATAATAAATAAAATAAATGTTTTTTCGCAAATCCATTATCGAAATGTTCCAAAATTCCCATTAGATACATTATTTCCGCACTCGTTCATTCATTAACAAAAAGTTTAAAATTCAGAACTTTTGTAAAAGCGCATGCAAAGCTTTTAAACCAAGCTACCTTCGTCAGGTTTTGTGTGAAAACTTTTTATTTGACACACGAGTACATGACTTATGTAAAGTATCAATTATACAATTTTGTAAGCTTTCGTCTGAATCCCAACTAATATTATAAATGCGAAAGTAACTCTGTCTGTCTGTCTGTCTGTCTGTTACGCTTTCCCGCTTAAACCTCGCAACCGATTTTGATGAAATTTGGCATAGAGATAGTTTGAGTCCCGGGAAAGAACATAGGATAGTTTTTATCCCGGTTTTTGAAACAGGGACGCGCGCGATAAAGTTTTTCTGTGACAGACAAAATTCCACGCGGGCGAAGCCGCGGGCGGAAAGCTAGTAAATAAATAAATAATAAAATAATGACTAAGAGATTATTTTTAAACAATTTACCTAATGTTTATGTATTTTCTAAATAGGTTCTGAAATAAATGCGAGAAAGGTGCTGGCAGTAGCTATTTAAATAATATTTATTATCTTCTTTTGTTGTCAGTCCAATTACATTTCAAAGTTTATCTGGGGGCACGGCAGTGCCCCCACCAAGTCGAGCAAAAAAGCGGCACGGCCGTACCATCCTTTTCTCGAAGCAATTCAGGCCATTTTCGACCGCCTGTAACTTCGTTGTGGATAAAACTAGAAGGCTGAATTTTCATTAGCTATGCAGGCATTGTAAAGACACGGTATATTTCAAATTTCATTCAATTTGAACTNTCGCAACTCCAACTGAGTCTCGCTTGGCCATCGCATGAAAACACGTGTAAATTAAATTATTTAGTGCGATGGCCAAGTCAATAATTTATGTAAAACGTTAAAGATTTCCTGGCCTGGACTTGGTATTACATGGATCTCACAACTTTTTACCGTAGAACAACTGAGTTGCGAGACTTGGTTTTTTTGACAAGTATTGTTTTTGATGGGATTCTTTCTTTCCGCTACTTCCTGGAGCAATCTTCCGTACTCACGTAATCTATTGGCTTATAATATTGCAAAAGTTGAGTCTCGTATGATGGTGAAGTTCTTATTCAAATTGTAATAGGATGGATTGTACGGATATTGTAGTCACAATTTTAAGCGTCTTCAATAAAGGAGGATTAGAACCTCCTCTGTATGTATTTTTAATCATTATGTTCACCTATTACTCTATGAATTGTGGAGCGATTTTTCAAATTAGTTTTTATGGAATAAAAATATTAACATAATAGAATCATCAAAATAATTATGTGTCCCTAATAATTTAAGTAACTAAAAAACTATTTGGATTACAAGTAAAATTTTGTTGATATGAGTGTACTTATTGAAACAGTTGACTCTCTATTTTAGTCGATTTCAAATCGTAGTATCTTACAAACAAAATTGCCAAAGTCTGTTAACCACGCTGCCACAGAGCTGAAATACAAATATCAACAACATCACATTAAGATAAACCTTTACGTAGTTGTAATAAGTACTATTTTACTACCTCAGTATCCTAGCCTAGTGGCGGGCGAAGTTTCATTACACAGCTGGATGCAGCTTAGCAAGCAGTATTGTGTTAGCAGCAGAGTGCAACGCAAACTATCCGCTGCGAAGTGCCCTACTAAGGGGAAGACTGACGCCCGTATTCACAAACTATGAGGTCTCACAGTGCACGTGGACGCACAGGGTCCCAAAAATGTATTTATTGACAACTAGCTTTCCGCCCGCGGCTTCGCCCGCGTGGAATTTTATCTGTCACAGAAAAACTTTATCGCGGTTTCAAAAATCGGGATAAAAACTATCCTATGTCTTTCCCGGGACTCAAACTATCTCTATGCCAAATTTCATCAAAATCGGTTCAGTGGTTTAGGCGTGAAAGCAAGACAGACTGAGTTACTTTCGCATTTATATATGAATATGAATAAATAAATGAATATGAATATAATATTAGTATAGATACTTGAGGGGCAAGTCGCTGGACGCAGGCCGCTACCAACCGGGCAACGAAAGCATTGGGGGAGGCCTATGTTCAGCAGTGGACGTCCTATGGCTGAGATGATGATGATGACTTGAGAGGCGGAGTGACACACACGAACCAATCACAGAGCTCTATTCAACGCTGTGCGTTCGACTTCCACTTGCAGCATCGTTTGTGAATACGGGTGAAAAAGACATAAAACTTGGACTGAGCAGAAAAGTAAAGTGTTTCTTTATTTCACTTGATATTACATTTAGTGCGCATTCTCACTGTACAGTTTAAAAAATAAATAAATAAGTAGGTACGAATGTACGAATATAACTATTTGACTATTAAGAAGAGTATATTAAACTTTGAGCTGAAATTTGATATTATTTAATTTAATTAATTAACTTTGGTACCTATCATAACTTTTCTTTTTGCTTTCGACCCTTTTTAACCCAAAGCCATCGTCATATTTAAACAAGCATCCTTTATTTGCAGTCGGCCCAGGTTCATGAAATGTCATCTTTATAAACCTTAATTTTAATTTTTCGCTCCTAGGTATAAGCAGTTTTTCAAGCTTGCTGAAAATAATCAGACTAAAATCACAGGCTAAATTAATTTTACATTATAACTTTCTGAGAACAAGGTTTTTCATACTCGTAAAATAGACACGCGGATAAGGTAATTGAAACCAAATGATCCTTTTGTCCTTTTACGGAAAATATTTTTGTAAGTTTCTAACTTTCTGACTATGATGATATTTTAAAAGTAATTAAGCCTACCAGCTTTCAGAGAGTAGGTACTAAAACGTACTGCTTTGGGATTTAATTAAAGAAAAACCATGTATTTGGTACCAAAAAACAAACAAGGGCTACGTAGCGTAATGATGACTGTTCTCTGCTCAGAATTTTTGCGTAATGAATACAGCGTGAGATGCTACTTTTCTCTCTGATGGGTGAAGTACTTTATATCGTACGTCAGAACAAGGTAAACTCCTTCGCACATACTTATCTAGTTGTGTTAGGTACGAGGTTTTTGCGACAAAAACCTTTAAGTACCTACTTTCACCTATCCATGGCGTTAGCCTCGAAAAACAATAAGCAGCATTATTTAATCTTAATTAATTTAATCCCATTTTCGTGTTTGTGTTTACTTATTAAAATTATAATTGTTGC